ACCGATATCCCCACACCAACCTGGGTTCCTGAAAACCTAACAAGGGAGACTATACCATGTGCTTCTCCTTTACCTCACACCTGACTCCCCACTCCAACCAGGTACCCAGAAGGAAGCTTGGAACCCTGGAACTTCCCACAGCCCTAGTCACTACGAAGATGTTCAGTCTAAGATAGTGCATGGGCACCAACTTCAGGAACTTAGTTACTAAAAGACTTTATTCCGCCAGAACCATGGGCTATGACCCCTCACAGGTGAGGCAGAGCAAGAGGCCAAGGGACATTAACATCCTCCAACATCCTGTGTGTTCCACTGATTTGTCTATCTCCTTCCAGCAGAAGGTCAGCTTTGTAAAGGAAAGAAATGTTATCTGTTTTGTTCACTGCCATGTCCCAAGTGCCCAGTCCGAAGTCCACACGTGCTAGGTGACTCATCGACATGTATTGCATGAACACATCAAAAAGTCCCAGTTACCTAGTTTCGTTTTTCATTCTCCAGTTATCCAGACACTTGTGAAACCAGAGCTCTTGGCCAGGGGATATGCTGGTGTTCTCAGGGTCTTCTGCACAGAAAGCAAATCTAGGAAGAAAAAGAAACCAGTGAGGCAGCCAAAGCTGTAGAGGGGAAGGTACACAGCTGTGCATTAACCAAAGGGTGGTTTTGGATCCAAGACAGACAGAGCAAGGAGAAAGGAAAAGTTTTCATCATGCCACACCCTGACTCAAGAACTTTTAGAACTCCCCATTGCAACTACGAGCACTCTAAACCATGTCTTACTTTGACATCTGCCACAGTTTGGCACATGCAGACTTTATTCACACACCTTCCACCATCTTCCCTCTGTCTATCCTAAATGCTTGCCTGCCTTTCAAGGCATGGCATCTCTGAAGCCTCCCTGACTGCTCAAGCCCTTGACCTCTCAATGTAATAGAAAAGCATATACTTATATATATAAATGTTGCTTTTGCTATTGTCGTTACTTCTTATGGCATGGAGTTAATAATGAATGTTTTGTCTTATTTTAACACGTTATACACTAGCTTGAATTGTTTGTGGATTCCTGCTAATCTTCTCTGTATTGTTCCAATTTTAGTATTGTGCTGCTGAAGCGAGCACTGGATTCCTACATCTATGGTAGGCTGTAAACTCTTTAAATGGAGGAACTCCCATCCGGTGCTCATAAACGTCCATTGACAAGCGTAACTGCAACTCAGCTACGAGTTAAAATCAAAGGTTCAGGAAACGGACAACCAAGATCACAAAACAATCAGTGACCTAACAACCATTTCGACTATAACTTACAGCCAAATCCTGTGGGCTACCCCAGCTTTGGTGGTGTGTGGTTAGCATGACCCCATGACCAAAAGATGTATGGGACACCTGACCCCGCTGCTGACCCAAAGGACAAAAGCCACAATCAGAACAGCTTTAAGAACCTTTACTAGGAAGCCCAATCAATACCTAAACATAGAAAAATGTGACTCTGGCCTTACCACAATTAGAAAAAATTAAAACAACAGTAGGGGACCAGTTCATACCCAACAGGATTGCAAAAATGTTTCACCAAATGTAAGTGAGGAGAAGAAAGGGAAACTCTAATAAGATTGAAAACTGGTCCAATCACTTTGGAAAGAGAGTTAATACCTAGTCAAGTTGGAGAAGACATGTACGATAAGCCAGGGATTCCACTTTTTAGTATCCTTGCCCCAAAGGAGCCCTCACACATGTGCACAAGGAAAATGTCCAAGGATGTTCATCCCAGCACTATCTGTGACTACGAGAAAGTAGCAACCACTTAAATACTTAGCAGAATGATGGTAAAACTATTGTTTGTACCATGATGGCTTACATACAGGAGTTAAATGTAAATAGACTAGATCTATATGTATTGGATAAATTTCAAAAACAATGTTGAATGAAAGAAAAGCAACTTGTTAAGGAATATGTCCACTCATGTCAACTTCAGAAGCCTCCAAAACAATTCTATATGTTGGTAAGGATACAAACAGTCATACGAGAGGTATAAAAATCATGAAGGAGGGAAAGACACTAACGTGAGTCAATGTTAGAAGATTCGTTCATTTGGTTTGAAAGGGGAGGAATCGGACAGGGGAAAGGCATAAAGGGGCTTCAACTCTATCAGTCATGTGTTACTTTTTTGAAATCTTCTATCTGTAACCAATGTGGAAAACCACTTAATATTTGTAAAGTTTCGATGGTTCATTATGTTTGAAATATTTTTTAAAATGATCGTCTTTCTGCTATCATACCCATAGGCATAGGCTCCACTTAATAAGCACCAAGAGAAGGAAAAAGACACACAATTATTTAGATCACCCCATCTGGCACCCTCCCCCCAGTTCATAAGTTTCTAGACCAGAATCACTCAGTCAAGGGACCCAAGCCTCCACTCGCCCCCACAGTCAAGCTGTGCCAGAGGTGATGGATGGAATCTGGGCATGGGAAGAATTGTAATGGAAAAAATGCCAGATGAGGTACGAAGAGCTTGGAGGCTGCTTCCTACCACCTCAAAGCTGGCAGTGACCTCCCAGAGGTCTGCTAAAGAAGTTGACCAAGGAAGCCCCCTCTCTTGGCAAAAGTCTCCCAGGCTCCCCTGACTTCTGCTTAGAAAGAAATCTGCTCAGAAAGTCAAGGCACAGTCTAGGGCCTGATGGATAAAGGTTTGGATTTTTCGTGCTAGGCTTAGTATTAACAGATATAAAGAAACTGCCAGCTGGCATGACATAGAGGAATCTGTTACCCGACCTCACCCCGTGTCCTTGACTCAGAGCTTCCAAAGGAGGGGTCTAATGCTCTAAAAATAAAATGCTAGGGAAACCAGGTCTTCCCACAGGCCTCATCCTGGAGGCTCCCTGGACTTGATACTCTGGTTTGCTCAGCACAGGAGCAAGCAAAGACTTTTGGTTGCATGGACCCCAGAACAAAGCAGCCCTCCTAAAGAGCCCTGTCCAGGAGCAGCCCCACTTCCTCCAGGGCCAACGCAGGGCTTGGCAAACAGAATGGGGGCTGGAATCCCCTCTCAGCCAAGGGCCTGTGATTAGGGCACAAACTGCACAACTGTTAACAGGGAACTTGATCTAGGATTCACTTTTCCTTGAAAAGATAAGCAAGCACCTTCGATTCTTCCACATCCAGAGCACGTGGGTTTGGCCCACGTGCTCTGGATGTGGAAGAATCGAAGGTGCTTGCTTAGCAAAGGGAAGGACATTGCAAAGGCATACACTTTCTGCTCATCACTGACATGGGGCCAAAAAGGGTCATGAGGCACTTACTTCCGCTGGGTTTCTCCAGACTTAACCCGGATGCGCCTGATATTCAGTTCCTGCACAGACTTGCGGGATTGAGACCAGTATCTGTGAAGCTCCTTCCACAGGTTGTACCAGGGCTGAGATACCTTCTCCCAGGTGAGTTTGATCTTCAAGAGGTCTCCCAAATCCTCCTCAGTGTAGACCAGGAAGGTATTGGTGGCATTCAGCCCGATTTGCTCCACTCTGCAAGGGGAGAGAAAAGCTGGTCTCACTCTCCGGCCACCTGGATAACTGCTGCATCATGTGGGGTGACACAGTGGCATCACCTGCTCCCCATAGACTGGAGAGAAATGAGCAAGAGGTCCCTCCCCCATGCCCAGCGCATCCCACCAGCAGGACCAAGGTGGAAGTGTGTGCCAGGTTGACATAGAGGTAAGTTTGCCTATAGCACCCCAGCTTCTTATCAAAACCATTCCTGAGTGCTCCCTCATTTATGCCACTTCCTGGAGATACGGGACAAAAACAAAACAAAACAAAACAGAAATGAGAAAGCACAGGGAAGTCATATCCCCATCCAACAGTATCTTCTTCCTTTCAGCCTACGGGCATCTGTCTCTCTCTGGCCCACTATGGGCATCTGTCTCTCTCTGGCCCACTCTTGCCTGTCTCTCTCACCTGGAACTTGGGGAGGCTACCTCACCGCATTCGTATGCATACAAACCTTGTCTCCCAACTTAACTCTGATCCCTGAGAGCGAGTACTTTGATGATGTTGCTTTGCAATGCCAGCATTATTCAGCATGATGCTTTGTACCTTAGGAGTGTTCAACAGATATATACAGATTGCCATGTGCCTCTCTCACAGATAATTAGAAATGGCCCCTTATATGACATTTATGATGTTCAAACCTCCTAAAGCTTCAGGTTTCAGGCATTGTCTAAAATGAAACAGCACTTTCTGCCTAGCTGATCCAGCAGCTTTTCACACTGTTGATTCACCCTGGGAGCTTCCCTCCCAGAAATGTTTTGCATCAAGGGCTTGTGGAGCGCGTACAAAGAGACAGAGGACTGCGGAGGCCACTGCAACCACCCAGCTCCTCCCCCAGGCACTCAGACTACACTCTCCTGCCCTTGCTCGCACGCTCCTGTCCTCTCTCATTCCCAAACCAACTTGTTCTCTGTCCTGACCCCAGCAAAGGGAACTCGTGACTTACATTTCCAAAGGCAGAGTCTGGGAGTCTGCGTTGGTGCCATAAAGAGTGACATAAAAGGCAGGCTCAATTTCTTCCATGCTCTTGTAGCTGAAGATGTGGATTTTCATCTGATAATGATAAACTGCAGAAATAGCAGAATAAAGACATCTGTGAGCCCTGTTTGTCATCTCAGAGCATCCTGACCCAAACTGAGTCACCCATCACACTTGAGTTTTTAAGGACTGTCATCCTTTTGGTCCAGCCCAGCTTCCAGCTTTTCTCTGGTCTTGTTCTGTCCCATGGCATAAGAGATCACTGAGGTATGGGAGCTCTGAGCCTGGGGTACAGGAAGACTTTTGGGGTCCTGGCTCAGCTACTTTCCAGCCTTGAATTAAGGACGCAGGCTCTTTGAGCCTCGATTTCCTCATGTGTAAAATAATGATATCCACAAAACCTTATAGTTTTATAAAATGTTATTAAAAAGCAGGATATCATTTTGATCCTCTGTTTGTCCTACCTCAGATTCATTGTGATGATCAAATGAGATAGATAGGGAATGGCTTTGAAAAGTTAAATGCAAGGTGGAGATTTAAGATATTGATATTGTGATCATGGAATGATGATTCACATCACCAAAGGAGTCCCCATCATTTACTTTTAAAGATTAACTTTCCTAACGCATGCACAATGTAATCTGATTTGCCGTGATTTGAGTTAACGGTGCTGCTGGCCACATCTCCTGGGCTGGGATGTACTCTGATCCACCACATGGTATTTGGAAGGAGGGTAAAGATGAAAGTCCTGCTTCAGGGCATAGAGGGGACTGAGGGTTACCTCTGAAAGGCATGCCTGCCCGGGTTTTGAGGTACATCTTGGTGTTCCTCTTGTTCCTCGTTTTCTTGGCATTGTAGCCAATATTATTACAACGGTTCTTCCGGCAGCTGAGACAGATCCCCTTTTTGAAGCGATTTGAGTCCGCGCACTGGAACGCAAAGCTGGGCTTGTCTTGATTCATCAGGGAGTCAACAAAGAGGTGGACAGACCGCTCATGCTCACATTTCATCGCCTCTGCGATTGCTGAGGGAGGAAGAGACAGAGAATACCCAGGATAAGCCGCTTCTCGATGATTTGCCCGCTCAATCAATACGCACTGTGCACTTCATTGGTAATAACTACTTTTATTGTTGCTGTTAATGTTCTTGTTTGTATAATTCTTAATATATGCCTGGTGATGTGCTAGACTCCCATGAAGATTTAGAACTAAGGGCTATTCCTGCCACCTAACTGCTTGCTCTCTAGGAGGGAAGACAGAACGAATACACAGAAAGCAACGAAGAGCAAGAGAGTGCATGTAATAAGCACTAAATAGGCTGATGAAGACCAGCGGTGCAGGAGGAGTCACTAGGTCTTGATGAGACTGTATAGTCACAAAATGCTGGAAATGGATCAGATGCAAGCTCAGGGCTCAGCAAACTACATCTTGCAGGCTGGCCACCTGTTTTTGTAAATAAAGTTTTATTGGAACACAGCCACACTCATTTGTTTACATATTATCCGTGGCTGCTTTCATGCTACAACAGCAGAGTGGAGTGGTTGAAAGAGAGACTCTATGGCCTGCAAAGCCTAAAATATTTACTAGCTGACCCTTTAAGAAAATGTTTGCCAACCCCTCGCAGTCCAATCCTTTCAATTACAGATTATGACCCAAAGGTCATGAAGGTGAAGTTATTTGCTCAGGCTCACACAGTTGGTTGTAAGTTTGGAGTATAATTTGGATATTCTGGCCCATAGTACATCAGTACGTCTTGTAACCAGAGGCTAAAGTCAATAGTTCAAGTAAATCCTGGGACCTAAAGAAAAACTTGACAAAGCCACCCCCAGTCCTTCCTCACTAACACCACCAGCCTTAGGAAATGCCACCTTCCCATCCCCTGAGGCAGGGCTGAACTCCCCTCACATGGACCACAGAGCTCCTGAGGGGCTACTTGGATAGTATCGTATTGGGAGAAGGCAACAGTCTTAAGACTGAGTGACGGAGTAGGACATCCAAGGGCACAACATAAGAATGAAGAGAGCTGACTAGGACCAAGACTTAGAAAAGCTGCCAGGATCCAAGGCAGTGAGTGAATGAGAAACTCCAAAAGGGATTAGTCACTGGGGCCACACCTCAATTTCAGCAGCAAATTCAGTTCAGCCCACATCTGCAGAGAATCAGCTCAGGCAGTCAGAAGATAAATTATAAGTGAATGGAAAAAGCAGCTTGGTTTTACTTCTTTAAAATGTTACCAAAAATTACATTATAGTGCATCTGGGCTATAGAATATTATGCAGCTTTCAAAAAGGATAAGGAAAGTAGGTATATATGGCTCTGATGTTTAAGAATGTCCATAATATATTATGATTGAAAAAGGAAAGTTACAGAACAACGTACTTCTGAAAAATATAATTACTCATACACACCCAAATAAATTTGCAAAGAAAATGTCTGGAAAGATACACATGAAACTGTTCATTCGTATTGGCTACTTCTGAAGAGTGAAAGTGGGAGTGGGAGTGGAAGATAAGCAGGAATTTTTATTGCTTTATGCAATTCTATATTGCTTGATTTTCTTCAACCAACATGTACTGCTTTTGCTATAAAAAGAAATTAACCAATAATAACTGTGACCTCAAAGCATGAGAAGGCAGAGCAGAGCCCACAGGGAGGCTGCTCGCAGGCTTATGGGATGAGGAACAGCACACAGCATTAGAGGGCACTGCGTGGGGAGGTGGGAATGATGAAATGAAAGTGGCTGGGAGCTCTAGCAGCTCTGGCTGATTTAAGAGGAGATGCAGTAACATGAAGCAGAAAATAAGGAACTCACTTCCATCTGCAATGGACCCCAAGATGTCGTTGAGTCCACAGCCTGGCTGGAAGTCACCCCCGTTGGGATAAATGTCGATGTGGCCCACAGGCATGCGAATCCCGATGCTCAAGCCAAAAGAACGCGTGTAGGTGTGGAGGACATCCACGAAGTCGGCATCATCAGGGGACAGCCTGCTGTGGATGTCCACTCCTTCAAACATGGGTCCAGCAGGATCCAAACCTACAGCAGGAGGAGCCATAATTAACTGTGTCAAGCGCATCAAGTCAAAGAGTCCCGGGCTGAAGTTAAATCCAAGTGTACAGAATAACCCATCCTCAGAGCCCAGCCCTGTGAATCTGGAACGCATGGTGCCCACAGTCCAGGAACTTACACTTTTCTAGCACCTTCACCTGTCCTGACACCTCAGCTGACTCAGTAAACCGGCCACGAGCTTCACCCTGAAAGGCAGCTCCAAGGAACCACAGACTGTCAGAACTAGAGCAATTCTAGAACAAACTCAAGCTGACTGAAACTAAGCCTTTTGCCCCATTTAATCTGCCCCTGAGCGCCTTCCACAGCCTCAATTTACAAGCTTTTTACAGAATAACTAAGCGACCCACATTTGGAGGAAAGATTCAGTCTCCCCAAACTGAGTTATTTGTGTTTGGACTTCTCTCCCCAACCCTTAGTGATGAATCAGGCCCAGGGGTGGAATGGCAAGCATGGGGGGACACCAGATACACTGAGAATTCATATTCCAGGCCTCCAGAATTCCTCTATTTTGCAGCTACAAAGAGAAAACCGTTTTGCTTGCAAACTTTCTGTATTAAACAGGCAAGCAGCTCTGTAGAGAGTATTAGTTCTCACATTTGAATCACCATGAATATCAGTGGAGAGCTTGTTACAAATTTAGATTCCACTTTGTAGCTACAAAAAACTCTGGAAAAACACACCAGCCACCTGTTACCTGTGTGTACGGATGTTAGGGGAGAGGGCAGGGAAGGGAACTGGGCAGGTAGTGGCAACCATAAGAGAGACTTTCATCGTCTTTTAATTTTGGAACCATATAAATGTAAAACCATTCAAAAAAAGATTTTGCAAACCATAAAATGCGGATTCCCTGACCCCTTAGAGATTGGGAGGTCTGATGTATTTACTCCCCAGGGGATCCTAAAATTAGGTGGTCTGTGGACCAGATTTCGAAAAACTTCTCTATGCTTCAGTATCATCTATAAAGTGGAATCTAAACATCTTAATTCATGCAGTTCACGTGAGAAGTAAGAGAGTAAGAGCTTGTCGATGTAAATACTAGCTATTACCAAGCCCAAATAATTATGGGAACTGAATTTATGCCGACCTAGAAGGCTCTTTGCACTACAGACAGAGAAAGTTAGGAGGAAAAAATACATGGCAGCAGAAGAAGTAATTTTGCTCCCAAGGGGATATTTGGCAGTGTCTGGAAACATTTTTGGTTGTCACAATTGGGGGAAGGGGGAGAGAAGCTACTAGCACCTAGTGGGTAGAAGCCAAGGATGCTGATAAACATCCAACAAAGCTCAGGGCAGCTCCCACGAATAAGGAGTAACTGGCCCAAAACGTGAACAATGCTAAGGTTGAGAAACCCTGACTGAGAAACCCTGATCTAGAAACACCAAAGCAGGGAGGAGATGTGACCAAGAACAGTCATAAAAAGGAGGAGATGGATAATAGAACCGTCTTCCCCAGACCCCAATGCCATAGAACCAAGGAGCACACTGAGAGGCTTGAGACGAGAATTTTTAGATAAACAAAAGGCAGAGCCATTGTCTAGAGTGGACAATAAATCTGTAGAACTCATTACTCATGAGAACTGATAGAGGCTGAAACTCTAAGTCATTGCCAGAAGAAGTTTATATAAAAAGTACAGAAGATGGAGGCAGAAAGGGAGCCCAGGCTGCTTGCGGGCTCATCCCCAGCCCAGGACCCAAAAGAAGGTGGCACAAAAAGCAGAGTAGCCCATGTTTTAGAGGCTGCAAGGACTAGGGTACTGACACAAGCGGCCTCTCCTTGCCTCTCACCATGTCCTCTGGAGGAAAAAAAAAAAAAAACAGAAAGAGGAACATTCTGCTTTGCAACCAATACAAGAGAGGGGCTCTTTGCTTGATGTGAACAGAAGTCTCCACCAGACGGTCAGTGCCATGGAAACCAAGCTGCACTGGTGGAATGCAGGCGGCTGATGGGGCTTCTTGACAGGCCGGCTGGCGGAAAGGCTGAGCCTTCTCTTACCCAGACTGACCCGGCCTGACACATAGCCAGGGCCCGCGGACTCTGAGGAAAAGTTGCACAATTTATTTTTAAAACTAGAAATGGGAGGGTGAACTTATCCTCTCCAAAAAGAAAGAAGTTGAAGAACCAACCACCCCTTCTTTCATTTAGCCAGACTCCTCCAAAAGTACTCTGTCCAACAAATGGAATACACACACACACACACACACACACACGCACACACACACACACACACACACACACACTCACATGCACACACAGGAAAGCCTCTGCATCCTGGGCTGGCAGAGCAAAGCCTGCTGCTCTACAACAGCATCTTCATCTCTACGGCTAGGGGAGAGGCGGCACAGTGGCTAGGTGCAAGCTCTGGAATCTGACAGCTTGAGTTTGAGTCCCAGCTCTGCTACGTAGGGTATAAGATACTGGGCCCATTACTTATGCACTGACTCATAGTTTCCCCATCTGTAAAATACAGCCAAAAGGACCCCTTTTGCCTGGGTGCTCTGTGGCTTAGAGATAGCATAAAATATCTGTCACACATTAAGTACTTGACATGAGGTAGCATCTAGCCCAGAGACTGGAGAGTGAACACTTAAATCATATTTCTTACATGAATGAAGATGTTTGCTTACTTATTTATAACCAACTGGATGCACGTTCAATTAGAAACATATGACCTCTTCCCGGCTGTATCACAAACTTCTCTCAGCAAACCCCAGTTCACAGCCCTCTGATCCAAGCAAGACTGGGATTCAGGTGTCCCCCCTGCAGGCCAGAAACCAAGGACCCCCTGGAGCCTCTGCACAGCAATATCAGTGCTCTCAGGCCCCCTCAAGGGGCAATCCCTGGTCCTCGTACTGGTCGAGACTACCTGGTTCCCAAGCCCATGAGAGGTCTGAGGGGAGAGGACAGTGCACAAGCCTCTGCCATCAGACATGCCCAACAGCAAGTGTCAGGTCAGCCAAATAACCTCTGAGGTGCTGCTTGGCAACTGAACATAGGCCACTTCTTCCAGTCATGCTCACCCCAGGCCCCTGCTCCGCAGAGAAGGGCCGGAAAGAAGGAGCTGCACTCAAGACATGCAGCCACCATGCTCCAGGCAGACAGCTTGGAAAACTAATTAGCATTCTGCCAGAGAAGCCCACACCCCAGCAGCTGCCACCCAAACAGGCAGAGGGAAAAAACTGGAATGTTCCTCACTAACCCCATCAGATTTCAGATTTAGAAATAGGGAAAGGGGGGCTCTGCAGCTTATCTTGGTTGCACTGGCTCTCTGGTGGAGACTTGGTGTGTGCTGGCCCAGCTCTGAATATCACGTTGCTTCTCATGGGGCCTGGAGAAGGTGCTTAGACAGAAGGGCCCACAGTGGCTCAAGGTGGAACAGCTTTGCACTGGCAGTGGATTAATGAGCGGTCATGTGTGGCCACATGATCACTGCCCACTCACATAGCTCAGGCCCCACGGTCTTGGTAATCAAAAATAAAGTTCTCAAGCTATGCTGAATCAAACCACTGGATCTAAAGAAGTGTGTGTGTATGAGTGTGCATGTGTGTGTGTGTGCACACATTAGACTTAAGCCCAGAACAATGATTTAAGGAGGGCACTAAAACCTCACAAATACATATTTATCTGTCCTACCAACTTATTGCTGAAACCTGCACTTCTACCTTTACTAAATCACTCTTTAGCTAAGGATGCCCTTCTACCTGAGTCCCGTTTCAAAATGAAAACACTGCTGAGAAAGAAATAGATCAACTCTGTCCTTTCGGGTGAGTAACTGGGCCCTTAGTTTGGTGGGGGCCAGGGGAAAGCTGAGAGCAAAGACAATTAAAAGAAAGCGGAGGGGTAAAAGTTCAGGGCAACAAATTTGCCATTCATTTTAGCCTAGAGGAAGTCCTGTATATGTACTGGAGGGGGCTCCAAACTGGGAAAGAGAATCTTTCCCACTTTTCACAGTCGTTAAATAATTCGATCCAAACTCTCATATCAAAAGCTCACTAAAACAGAAAGTTCAATTTTCTATTGACAGTCTGGGTACCAACATCAGAAAGGTCTCTTTAAAGACAAAGTTTAACCACCCATTCCAAACAGGTAATTAACACTAATAAATATGCCAGCTAAACATTGGAAAGAGGCTGTTGGTGGATGAAATAGAAATCAGAGGCAGAATTCAAACCACTCACTCTTTTCCCATAAGGTCCTGGAGTATCACAGCCAGAGATGGAAAGTGAGCCCCAGAAGCTGGGAGGCTAGGCCTCCCTGCCCCCCACTTCTGCCTTTTACTTATTAGCTATTTGCCCCTGGGTGTTTCCTCACCTATGAGACCAGACCAGTGGGTTTCAAATTGTGTTCCCCGGTGCCCTGAGACCCTGTTATTCCCCTGGGGAAGGGGAAGGCCCAAACAGCGAGGCTAGTATTGCCCACCATCACGTACCCAGCTGCAACCAGAACATCTGTTCTGTTTCTCATATTGGGTGCTGCATACATTCAGTTTTGAAAAAAAGGGTTCCATGACTAAATAAAAAGTTTAAAAAGCTCTGGATTAGACATTCTCCAGTTTTCTTCCAAAGCTAACCTTCTATGGATCACTCATGCTGCCTCTCTGGTACAGAAAAGCCAGCTTGTCAGAGATGTTGAGGGAGCTTCGGGGACCAGCTGTTAGCGGAGGAAGCAGAGCTTACCCGTGATTCTGCCCACTGTGCCTTTTACGAAGTTGCCAGTGTACCCAGCCACATGAGCTCCAAGGCTGTAGCCAATCAAGTGAACATTCTTGAGAGAAAAGTCATCTTTCTCCTGCAGTAAATCACAAAAGTTTGTGAGTGAGGAGTGTGGTCCCAAACCCACAGAGTCCCCTATAATTCAACAGTTCAATTATGACAAGGAATAGCCAGGGGCAGAGACTTCCAGGGGCATGGCTGGCATTGCTGGCAATGCAACACAGATGGAGCATAGCTAGCAAAGAGGTCAAAGGGCTTGGTGGCACTTTAAATGCCAAGCGCTGGGGGTAGGTTGTGACTAGAAGCTGCATATCTGACCCTTCCCCTACATGTTGTCTGTTCTTTCTGGTGGTAGCTAACAGGCGCAAGGATGGCAATGTGGAGGTCAAAGCCACCAGATTCACTGGACTCTAAGTGCCAGCCACGGGCTCTGACGGCATACTCCTTTCTGGCCCCCGTAGGCCCCAGGAGCAATGCCCTCACAAGCACCTCAGAGTTGGAGTATAAGACCCTAACAAGGCACTCCACTGGAGGGGCTTGAGAAGGTGGAGATTTGACACCACAACTTAGGAACAAAGCTCTACAAAACAACCAAGGCAGAAGACTGAGAGGCTGCTCAAGAACCCTAACCAGAATTCTGCCAGTAATTCATCAGATTCCACGGGCAAAAGGAAGGTCAGGCTGGAATGGCCCAGATATTCGGGTCACTTTGCCAATGCACTCCTGCCTCCGGGTAAGTCCACTGATCTCGGGCAAATCATTAACCTATAAAAAGTAAATTTAAGACCTCTAGATGTGTTTATGTCTGTAAGGCTGTCCTTCCCCACTCTCAACAGCCACCCTTCAGGCAAGAGCAGACTTCAGTAGGTTTGTAAGATTATAAGCCAGTCCTGGCTCCTGGCCACTCCCAACCAAAGGGCATCAATTTTTAAGATCAGCAAGTAATGACCCCTAAGGCAAATTTTTTTTCCATCAGATAAAGTAACAGGAAAAATACAGAGATATTTAATTGAAAAGCTCTTTAAAAGTCCCAGCTTTCAAGTATTTCAAGCAATACTTAATTCAGTAAAAAACCTGAATCCCAAAGATTTTGATCAGACATCTGAAATTCATTGTAACACAGTCTGACCTGTATTTCTTAAGAGGGTTTGGGTTCAGGATCCTGCTCATGAAGGAAGATGACTCCCTTTCATGCTCAGTTACCTGCAGCCAGTCAAGCATCCTTGCAATGCTGTGTCCCACCACCCGAGTGTTATTGACCGCATCTGTATAAAGCTGGTGGGCCAAGGGGAGCCAGTCAACCACCACGATGTTGGCTTCTTTCTCTCTTGTATGCAGGGCTGACACGAGTTTGTACAACCAATTTTCAAATATGCCACTCATCTGCAGAGAAAACAGGACTTTTAAAAAAAAATTCTCTCAGTTTCAGAAACACTAATGAAAACGGAATTCAGTCCCATGACCCTCTCCCCAGCCTATTCCAGAACCTTCACATTGACTGATCAGGGACAAAATATTTGCACGTGAGCAGGGCCAGTTACAGGCAGGGTTTCTATGTGGGCATTTGTCTTCCGTTACTCTTTACATCCCCATTTTTTCCCACCAAAACTTTCATAGCTGCTGCTCCCCTTTCTGATAGGGCCACTGTGATATATGCATTGGTCGCAATATTGACCTGAGGTTAGCCTAAGTCCTTATCACAGTCAGGCAAGTGGCCTGCTCCATCATTCAATGGCAACTGGGATGGGTTACCTTGGAGAATTAGCTTCTCTCTTGGAGATGCAGGAAGATGCTGTCTCTAGGCAAATGCAGAGTTAACGACCCTTTCTCACAACCCATCTCTGTCATCCCCCTGAACCCCAAAGTAGAGAAGATCTGTC